CAAACTCTTAACCGGTGAGGAGCGTATAATCCGTACAGTACTGCACGGAAAAATTGACCATTTTATCCACTAAATTGCATTACCCAAATGTGCTGTTATTGGTACCAATTACTACTGAAAATATCAACGAGATGTTTATTTATATTTGAAGACATATTAAAAACTTTAACGATTGTTTTCGACTCGCACTACTATTCATGATTGAACAAAACTTTTGGCAGGTACTGTATGAAAAAGTACGTTTAATTAGCTTTTTTCTCCCGTGCATCCAAGACATTGGAAGGGGCTCATCGCTAGAGAAAGTAAATGAAGTATACTACTATACTTCTTATTAATGCTTCATCAAACTTGCGCGTGAACTACTACCCTAATCCTGAACAACCCCAGGACTGTTCGACAATCTTTAATATCGATTTTGAAGTAGATCGGCTAAAAGAACAACTTCCTACCCTACAACAAGCGACACAACCTCGCTCGAAAGATCTTTAAGTACCCGAAGATGTCAACTACCTCGGCCGATTCACGCCACAATCATTCGAAATCATAGTTCAACACCCGGTACATAATTTAGCATAGTTTTAATTCTCAATTTCTTTAGCAATTGATGAAATAGTAATGATTGTCTAACAAATTTCGCCTATGAAGAGTCTACTCCTTGACTATGACTATTGAAAAATTGTCAAACACAAGTGTCTACGAAATGATTCAAAAAAAAAAACTGTTGCTAAAAAAAATCGTCTATTTGAATGTGTATTATATGTAATACAGTTTCCCTATTTCTGAATTTAACGATTCGTTTTATATGATTGGGTGTCTCACCTATTAAATACCTGTTACTATAATATTAATTTATTTTTATACTGCGCTTCTTCGATCGGTGGTAAGAATAAAGAATTAATTTTTAAAGTACCTATACAGGGTGATTACTGATGGATCATTAGATACTTAAATGTGGTGCGATTATAAAAATTAGTTAAGAAATTGTTATTATGATATACGACGGAAATCTGTTTTCAAATAAGCAAACATTCCACAATTTTTTCATTTTAATATTTTTCTAAAAACGTGGGGCTACTTTAGTATGCGGTCTACCTCTCGGGGTATAATCTATCTGTTCTTTAATATGCGATCGACCCACTGAATGTAGATAAGAAACATATATTTTTGAGAAAAAAGTAAAGGTAAAGGTCTCTTCGTACGTATTGTCTTTTCCTACCATCTCCTTCTGTTAGATTGATTAGATAGGAAAAGACAACACGAAAGAAGTAACAGATAGACCACAAACTAAAGTAGTATCTACTAAAAAAGTTACCACAAATACTTAAATAAAACATAAATCGCATATCAGTGAACCAAACAATAAAACTACCCACTCAATCTCAATGAATGGTCAAACTTCCCTAACTGGAACCAGCAGGGGTCCTATCCAGCTTTCCTTTTAGTTGTACAGGATGAAACTAATTCAGTTTAATTGCTGTTGTTATTGTAAAGCAACTACATCAACAACTTGCTTGTATTAGATATTATTTCTTAGAGTAATGAAATTACGTTAACAAAAGGCAACACCAACGAAGTGAGCTATTTGCTATCGCTCTCTAGTTGGAGATTATGAAACTACAGAAGTTCGAGTTACAGAAGTTTGACTGTACGTATTATTACCAACTAAACATGCGTAAACGTATAAAAGTTCTTGAAACTCTTGTCTCTATTTAGCTGTGATTTCTTTGTAAGTATTAAAAACCGAACAAATATTATAAATGAATAATTAATTTAGTAAATACATTTGAAAATTCCTTGTTGTTTATAAATAATAATAATAATAATAATGATTATTACTCAAACAGCGTTAAAAGAAAAAATTATTGCTGTTGGCCGTCCCTTATCTACTATTATACTATCTATGTATGTACATATTTTGAAGATTTAAATTTTGTTACTATCCCATCNTCTGTCGAAACTGCCAGACGCGGATCGCGATTTCGATCTTTTTGGATCTCATCAGCGCGTCGCAGGCAGCTCCGACAGAACACAGACCAACTTTTACCTGTTGTCTTGACAGCGCGTCGATGCTACATTTTAGGATTACGTATGCTCCAACAAGGCCCACTTGTGTGGATATCTACTTGCTGAAAACGAATCCCGGCGTAGCCAACCTCAACGTGATAGGCACGTCACCATAATCGAATAAAATAATTCCAAGTGGTCTGTATTCTAAAAAATGTAATCTTAAAATGTAGCATCGTGCGACAGATGGCGTTTACTGCGCCATTTGTAGCATTTTCTTAATTGAGTTTCATTTTTGAAAGGTATCAGTTGTCATGACTCCTATCGTGGATTAATCATTAAATTTGCCGAAAACTGGAACGTCTCTTGTGCAACGATGTCCTCCCATTGTATCTTTTCTTTTCCTTACTGACCTCCATAGCGTCCAGTATCTCATAATTTCTAACCCTTTCTATCAAATGCGTTTTCTCTTCACCCTTCACCATCGACGTTTAGCACTTTTTCAGAACTATACTCCCAACAGGCATTTTTAACATTCGCTTTCGAGTCATTCGGGACTATACCATAAAACTGATTTACTTTTGTTAAGAGCTCATCAATATCTACCCTCTATTCCGTCGTTAGTTATCTGATCTTCTAATAGTTATAGAAGGTCGACGACAAAAAATGATTTAAAATAAATAATTTTTGCTGCAGAATCACGGAGTCATCATTCATTCGGCGTATGGAAGCGGTAAAGATATTAGCGTTTATACAGCGATAGGGTTGAAACCTAAGCAAATTTACATCGTTGGTAAGGCGAACAAGAAGCAACAATCTCAAGCTACAATCTTGGCCGAAGGCTACGCGGCCCATCTGGCCGCCCTGATGACCCACGGAGGTTCCAGACCGGCACAAGGCAACGCTAGAATGGTTATTCCTCGGGGATATTTTGGACTTCCGGGACAAAGCACGTCCAGAAGACGAAGGTAAGAAATTTAACTTTTTTTTTTATTAAATATATCGGAAAAGGGTTAAGATAGTAACGATTTTTGATAATTTTCTATTTGTGTGTGACTGTTTCAGTCACGACATAGTCATGTCGTCGCCAGTGCGTACCAGTGGCTTTTTGAAATGCAAGGTTTATAAAGGTCACATTTAATTAACACGGTAATTATTTAAGTACTTGTTATGATAATAATTGATAAATATGCCGGCATACGTTGCACCAAAAGATGTCTTGCACCTTGCATCGCTATGTTTACGACCCTCGCTTATAAACAAATAAATAAACAAATAAAAGTAAACCAACAGAAATAAATTAAATATATATTATTACAAATAAAAAGAATAGATTGCTGTTTTTGCCGATATTGAATGATAAAATATTTTATTTAACAAGTGAATAACTCATTAATATAAAATTATTGTTTAAAAATGATTTGTGTAGTGGACAGTAGTAGTTTCCTATATTGTGTGGCATTTGTTGTTTTGTCCTCTTTCGCAAAAAGGGGTCATATTTTTAAAAGCTCCATCCTTACATGTTTTTTAGTTGGTTATCCAATTTAGTTGAGCTTTTCCTGTTAAAAAATTTTAAGAAATATTCGACATGATCATTGGGGGGCTTTCCCGGCTTGCTGACTATGGTCAATAAATCTACTAGATATTTGGTCATCAACAGAAAGCAAGTCAGCAAGCCCAGAAAACTCCAATGTCCATATTGACTCCGACCATGAAAGCCTACAGTAATTAAATATTTGACAGATACAACAATTTCTGAAATTGTTATTAAAACTTTAAAAGCTTTCTGCATTTACTGTTTCCCTAGCTCAATAATTATAGTATACTGTCCTTGTTGGGGGTAGTTCACGTATTACAATTTCGTTTACTTTCTGTAGCGATGTGACCTTCAGTTTGACCGGTGCAAAGTAGAAAAGAACAGCACTAGGCCAGAAAAGGAAGGAGACAACTCTCGGCCAAACTCTCAACCGGTGAGGAGCGTATAATCCGTACAGTACTGCACGGAAAAATTGACCATTTTATCCACTACAATTGCATTGCTCAAATGTGCTGTTATTGGTACCATTTACTACTGAAAATATCAACGAGATGTTTATTTATATTTGAAGACATATTAAAAACTTTAACGATTGTTTTCGACTCGCACTACTATTCATGATTGAACAAAACTTTTGGCAGGTACTGTATGAAAAAGTACGTTTAATTAGCTTTTTTCTCCCGTGCATCCAAGACATTGGAAGGGGCTCATCGCTAGAGAAAGTAAATGAAGTATACTACTATACTTCTTATTAATGCTTCATCAAACTTGCGCGTGAACTACTACCCTAATCCTGAACAACCCCAGGACTGTTCGACAATCTTTAATATCGATTTTGAAGTAGATCGGCTAAAAGAACAACTTCCTACCCTACAACAAGCGACACAACCTCGCTCGAAAGATCTTTAAGTACCCGAAGATGTCAACTACCTCGGCCGATTCACGCCACAATCATTCGAAATCATAGTTCAACACCCGGTACATAATTTAGCATAGTTTTAATTCTCAATTTCTTTAGCAATTGATGAAATAGTAATGATTGTCTAACAAATTTCGCCTATGAAGAGTCTACTCCTTGACTATGACTATTGAAAAATTGTCAAACACAAGTGTCTACGAAATGATTCAAAAAAAAAAACTGTTGCTAAAAAAAATCGTCTATTTGAATGTGTATTATATGTAATACAGTTTCCCTATTTCTGAATTTAACGATTCGTTTTATATGATTGGGTGTCTCACCTATTAAATACCTGTTACTATAATATTAATTTATTTTTATACTGCGCTTCTTCGATCGGTGGTAAGAATAAAGAATTAATTTTTAAAGTACCTATACAGGGTGATTACTGATGGATCATTAGATACTTAAATGTGGTGCGATTATAAAAATTAGTTAAGAAATTGTTATTATGATATACGACGGAAATCTGTTTTCAAATAAGCAAACATTCCACAATTTTTTCATTTTAATATTTTTCTAAAAACGTGGGGCTACTTTAGTATGCGGTCTACCTCTCGGGGTATAATCTATCTGTTCTTTAATATGCGATCGACCCACTGAATGTAGATAAGAAACATATATTTTTGAGAAAAAAGTAAAGGTAAAGGTCTCTTCGTACGTATTGTCTTTTCCTACCATCTCCTTCTGTTAGATTGATTAGATAGGAAAAGACAACACGAAAGAAGTAACAGATAGACCACAAACTAAAGTAGTATCTACTAAAAAAGTTACCACAAATACTTAAATAAAACATAAATCGCATATCAGTGAACCAAACAATAAAACTACCCACTCAATCTCAATGAATGGTCAAACTTCCCTAACTGGAACCAGCAGGGGTCCTATCCAGCTTTCCTTTTAGTTGTACAGGATGAAACTAATTCAGTTTAATTGCTGTTGTTATTGTAAAGCAACTACATCAACAACTTGCTTGTATTAGATATTATTTCTTAGAGTAATGAAATTACGTTAACAAAAGGCAACACCAACGAAGTGAGCTATTTGCTATCGCTCTCTAGTTGGAGATTATGAAACTACAGAAGTTCGAGTTACAGAAGTTTGACTGTACGTATTATTACCAACTAAACATGCGTAAACGTATAAAAGTTCTTGAAACTCTTGTCTCTATTTAGCTGTGATTTCTTTGTAAGTATTAAAAACCGAACAAATATTATAAATGAATAATTAATTTAGTAAATACATTTGAAAATTCCTTGTTGTTTATAAATAATAATAATAATAATAATGATTATTACTCAAACAGCGTTAAAAGAAAAATTTATTGCTGTTGGCCGTCCCTTATCTACTATTATACTATCTATGTATGTACATATTTTGAAGATTTAAATTTTGTTACTATCCCATCGTTTATAAATCTATTTGTTGTTTTATTGTTGCGCAAAATCAGGAAGGAAAATGCGTTTCCTTGCAAAAATCGCTGCATGAATGTTTAAAAATATTTTTCTAAGTGTACAGAAATTTGTTGTTAGGACAAAGGAAGAGTAATGTTGTTGCTGTTTTTAGTGAATATGCGTACATAAACAAAGAAACATACAATATTATTGTACGATATTAAATATGTGTATGTATGTTATTGTTTTAAGTAGTTAATACGTAAAATAATGTGATTTTAAAAAATATCTGCAGAGATTGGTTTCTAGTTTACATAATTAGTGTAATTATTTATTTATTTGTTTTAAACTAACGAATGAATATTTTTTCAAACTAGTCCAAGTCAAGTCCAAATCAAATTCTATTTTCTAGAACAGTCTTGTTTCCAAAATTAATTTTTTTATAAAAGAAAAGTTTTATAATTGTTTTAGTGTTTTACGTCTTTCTTTGATGAAGATATTCAAAAATTATAAAAA